GCCGTCATCATGCAAAGAATCTGCGCAAAGGATCATGGGAGCCCGAAGTGTCCATCAGTTTGTATGAAAAACGTACCCTTTGAAATCCTTCATTCCAAAGGACCCTTTGAATTGGCCAGTTTTGAGCACTTCGGTTTGGAAAGACCCTTCAATATGGCGGCTATGATTGCTTTCACTCCGAAGCTCCGAAGTGCCATTCGGAGGGCGATATATCCCGTTTGGAACGCACCAACCGTTATGTTTATTGTGAACGAGCGTGCACACGCGCCCTATTTACGAATGATTGGAATTCATTCACATACTATCAAATCTGATGTTTACGAAGCGTTTGTGAATCTGGAGGAGAGTTTTCGGGAAGGTCTGTTTTACGGGCAGATTACTTTGAATTTACTCACATATTTACGCAAGTTTCATGAGTCCCCATGTTATTATTCTGTTAATATACAAAAATACTGAGGTGCAAATAGTATCTGCCAATATAAGGTACAGATAGCATAATTACTATTTACACATTGCAAACATTGCTGCTGGTCCAGGAAAGCATTGTTGCAATGTGATGTAAATCCTGTATGATAGAGGGTGCGATCATAGACTGTAACCTGTGAGTGTAAATCCTGTATAAGCTAGAGGTGTTTCCAACAATTAGTACCCTATAATTTAAAACCTTGATAATCATTGGGACAAATGCTACACCGACCAACCATCCTACTTGTACAACGACTGAGCAACAATGGAGAAGTTAATATTACTGGTTACTGCATTTTTATATTCAGTTATATTCTTCGAAATGAGATACTGGTAATACGTAACTGGCGTGAATATTCCACATCATAGCAACCAAATCTTTAGCTGGAAAAATGCTGTGCCACCAAAGAGTTCTCAAGGGCCACCAGCTGGCCATTTTCAGAAGAGCACCTGGCTAAAAATGCTTTGATGGACACGTTCATTTGAATATTTATTGTTAGGCATATGGCGCTTTTTTTCTTTTTTTTTGCATTTATGAAATATACTGGAGCCAAACCTGAGAAGGGAGTCCAGAATATTCCACTGTGTTCCTGGACACGTAATTTACATAACTGTGTAATTCATAGGCGGGGATTATGTTCAGGCAGCGGCTGTTTGCACTAAGTGTAAATAGCGATAGAGGCTATTTACACTAAGTGCAAATAGCAATAGATGCTATTTACACTGTTAAAATAGCAACACATTTTACCATCTGCGCTACTGAAGCTGATATTGATGATTGTCTTTCGTAATGTTGACCAGCCTAATCACACGTTGGTGGGCGGAGTTAGTGTAAATAGCCTCTGCCAACAAGGCGGGCTATTTGCACTTAGTGAAATAGACACTCCCGCTGCGTTCCATTCGGAAGGGCTCATCCCTATGCCCTAATCCCTTTAAAAGGGGTTCACCCTTCGGAGTGAGAGCTTCGAAGGATGTAGGGGACCAAACAACTGTTTCTTGAAGTGCCCTTCTGCGTCATCATCACGTGCCCACACGGAGGCGCCGTCATCATGCAAAGAATCTGCGCAAAGGATCATGGGAGCCCGAAGTGTCCATCAGTTTGTATGAAAAACGTACCCTTTGAAATCCTTCATTCCAAAGGACCCTTTGAATTGGCCAGTTTTGAGCACTTCGGTTTGGAAAGACCCTTCAATATGGCGGCTATGATTGCTTTCACTCCGAAGCTCCGAAGTGCCATTCGGAGGGCGATATATCCCGTTTGGAACGCACCAACCGTTATGTTTATTGTGAACGAGCGTGCACACGCGCCCTATTTACGAATGATTGGAATTCATTCACATACTATCAAATCTGATGTTTACGAAGCGTTTGTGAATCTGGAGGAGAGTTTTCGGGAAGGTCTGTTTTACGGGCAGATTACTTTGAATTTACTCACATATTTACGCAAGTTTCATGAGTCCCCATGTTATTATTCTGTTAATATACAAAAATACTGAGGTGCAAATAGTATCTGCCAATATAAGGTACAGATAGCATAATTACTATTTACACATTGCAAACATTGCTGCTGGTCCAGGAAAGCATTGTTGCAATGTGATGTAAATCCTGTATGATAGAGGGTGCGATCATAGACTGTAACCTGTGAGTGTAAATCCTGTATAAGCTAGAGGTGTTTCCAACAATTAGTACCCTATAATTTAAAACCTTGATTGTGCACATGTGCATGTGTGGATGTGAGGGGCCCGACAAGACATTGTGCCCAGGGGCCTAAGGGGTTAATCTCATCAGCGTCAGTGAGCCAATAAGCCTGCAGCACTAGCCGGTGTGTTCGACGTGTTTCCAACAATTAGTACCCTATAATTTAAAACCTTGATTGTGCACATGTGCATGTGTGGATGTGAGGGGCCCGACAAGACATTGTGCCCAGGGGCCTAAGGGGTTAATCTCATCAGCGTCAGTGAGCCAATAAGCCTGCAGCACTAGCCGGTGTGTTCGACTAGAAGAGGTGCAGAGCAGATCGATCATCCGCAAGAGCGATTCGAAAGCGCACGGAGCAGTCTGCTCTCTTTAGCTCTCGTGGTACTGTAATACACCGATCGGTCTGCACAGTCGGTCCGCGTCAAGTTGAACACACCTACTAGTTAACACCGGTTACACTCAGAGATGTGGTGCACACGTGAGGCTGTTGTGTGAATGCGTCCCAACCCCCTTAGATGTAAGGCTACATTTACACTGGTGCGTTTGTTTTGAAATGAAAATTATCCTCGTCATACTGGCGTTTCCACTGCGTTTCAAGCCGGCTTTCCACCATCTCCGACAAGCGACAGACCGGTCATTCATTTCCAATGGAGAGTATGCGGGAGCTGCGTGGAGTTCTGATCATATGCAGATATCATCACATATGTTCAATCATGTATCAATAGTGTGTTATTTAGGGATGCACGATATATCGGCCACCATATCGGTATCGGCCAAAATTTTCATATCGGTGCATCCCTAGTGTTATTGATACATGACTGGAGCAAATATCAATAACATTTCCTCATCTTCAATATTTGCATAGCAACTTTGGCTTTGTGACGTAAAAGGAATGCATCTGTTCGTATTGAACAGGGAGTGCTGGAAAGTTCAGGAATCATATCTCACTAGTAAATGAACACACGGAGCAAAATGGAAGACCTTTCCCACCCTAACATTAGTCAATAGGAGCACACGCTACTTATATCTGACTCTCTATAGAGACCCTGAAGCGTGTGTTTACATTAGCATGTCTCCATGGATACTGAGGTGTGGCAACAATATCATCAGTGTTAGGCATTTTATAGAGCGAGAGGACATTTATGCCCCACTGCCTGGTAAATGCACAATGTGGTGGTTAAGATAACTTGAGATATTTGCTAAGTGACTGTGATAAAAGAAAGGCATATGTAGTTACTTGGAAACATAACATTGTTTTATTGTTGCTCTTGTCCTTCAAAATGAGCGAATAACATTTTCAATTTATACATTACAAATTATATATATATATAATTAAAATATAATATTACACACTACTGATCAAAAGTTTGGGATTTTTTATTTTTTTTTGGTGTGTCTTGTTCTCAACAAGGCATTCAGTAAACTATTAATATTGTGAAATATTTTTACAAATTAAAATAAGTGTTCTATTTTTTTTATAAAATGTAATTTATTCCTGTGATGGCAAAGCTGAGTCTTCAGCAGCCATTATGCCAGGCTTCAGTCTTCCCATATGCTAAACTGGTTCTCAAGATATGTTTTTCATAATAATTGTGAGAGTTGAAAACATTTGTGCTGTTTAATATTTTTGTGGAAACCGAGGTACTTTTTTTCAGGATTAATTGATGAGCAGAAACAATAGCATTTATTTAAAATGGAAATCTTTAGTAACAATTATAATGTCTTCACTGTCACTTTTAATAAGTTTAATGTATCTTTACTGAAAAAGTATTTCTTTTAAAGTTACTGACTCCAGACTATTCTATATAATCACAATTATATGTGAATATTTGCAATTAGTTTGATTTAATCTGTGCATTTTTAGTAATATTTTCCAAGGAATTTACAGCCTCAATTATATTTATATTTGTATTTTTCTTACATTTTATTTATTTATATAATTTATTTTTAAATTAAATATTGTTATTTACAGTAAGTATTATTGAGATCCTAATTTTTATTAATATAAAATTTTGGGGGGTAACTTTGTTGTTTTCGATTTTTAATGTGTGTGTGTGTGTGTGTGTGTGTGTGTGTGTGTGTGTGTATTAATTTTTTTTTTAGTTCTTAGTTTAATGTGTGTGTATGTATGTATGTGTATATATTTTTCAGTTATCACCCTTTTTATTTCAAGAAACAAAAATGTTTTAGTTAACTATGTATTTACATTTCTAAATAAACATGCTAAAGAGTTGGATTTCAACATAAGTGTCATAACAAATCTGAAATACATTTTTAACTACTATTATTCAGGGGAAAACAGGCTATCTCTTTGCATATAGCAGCTTTGCCATTTTTACCGTCTCCTGAAGTATGTGTATAAGGAATATGGTATGTCACAGAGGCGTACTCAAATCCAAACAGCTAACATTTTTGTTTTACCATTGTTTTCTCAGGCAATAAGCCTGTGTCCCCATACAGCGGCTATAACGGCCAACACCGAAGTTGTGTTTACCAACCGACAGAACTGGCCATCATCACCAAAGGAGTGAGCAATGTGAGTGCACATATTTTACTACTGATTTGACTATGCATACAACCTTGTGGCCTTGTGCATACAAAGACTTGTGGTCACTGTTCACAAACAAATACACAAGAGAACTACACAAAGTCCACAAAAAAAATTTTACATATATGTTTTGTAGCCCCAATGTTTTTGTGCATTTGTGTGTTCACCTGCCATGTCTATTTGGACTGCTTTTGGCTGTAGCAACAGATGGAATCATATGACAATATAATTCCACGAGCATCCATGGGCACGCCTCCCAGAGCCCAGAGCGGCCACACCAGCCCCTCCGCACAACTTGATGATATGAGACAAATATATACAAATGTACGTGGAGAGCATTATATTGATGCTGTGTTTGATTGCTTTGGGTCTTTCCAGACTATCGCCCTTTTGACTTTTCGCTTCCGTCCTTCTTTTTCAACATGCATGCGTGCTGCCCTGCTTACATTTGAGCAGAATTGTTTTCTCTTTATAATGATCTTATTGATTGTAAAGTTTCTTTCAGTTTTGTAAGGGTGCCGTATGAATACAAATATAATTTTTTTTTATTATATTTACCGTTAATTTGGTATATTTGATATGTAAAGGGATGTTTATGTAGCTTGTAAACACCATTCATTCAATCAACAGATAAATGTGCATGTTACTGATTTTTAGATGAATAAACAATGAAAATTAAACTCATAATCACCCACACAAAACGACATCATCTTTCCTTTTGGTGAAGAAAAAATAATCTGTCCTTGAACTTTACTTCTCGGATTTCTGGTGCCTCTCACTTTATCGTCTCTCTTGATGTCCGTCGGGAATTCTTCTCCCTCTTTGCCTTGTCATTCATTCTTTCAAGATCTGCTTTCATTCCTAGAATGGTGACACTTTAACCTTCTGTCTGGGATGGTGGAATTTAAAGGCCATTTTTTGTCTGTGTTTGTATGTTAATTATTTTTATTTTCATTTTGTTTTTTTGTAAGGTATGATGGTGTGGAAGAAGAAATCCGATCTAATAAACTAAACTGTATGTCTTCTGGCTTTTCTTTTCAAAAATCATTTAATTTCAGTGTTTTCTCACCTCTTTCACAGAAGGTGTCTGTTTGTAGTCTTATTGCTACTTATTTCCTCTTTCTGTCACTCAATGTTACAAAATTATGTTTTACATTCACCTGTTATTAGTTTGATTTAATTATTAGTTTAATTTAATCTGCACATTTTAAATAATATTTTAAAAACATTTACAGCTTTAATTATATTTATATATTTTTTGTCATTTAAACAGTATTTTAGAATCATTGATATGCTCGTTTTTAATTAATATTTTTATTGTAAATGTTTTTATATTTTCCGTTTAAAGTGTTAGTAATTTTGCTGTTTGTTTATAAATGTCAATAAAGTTTATTCATTTTTATTTCTTTTTTTTTGTTGTTTTTTTTTTGGCATTTTATTTTGTTATAGTTAACTTTATTTCACATAATTTTTTTCTGGTTTTAGTTTTAATTAACTATAATAACCTTGGTTTTAGAACTATTTGAAATATTTCCCGATTGATTCAGGTGTAATCTAATATTTCCTCTGTTTCTCACTGTAGGGAAATTTCATCAGAAGACCCCAGTGATCAGCTCACTCCAACTTTTTTTTTTTTTTTTTTTTTTTATATTTTTTAAATTAAATTTTTGGTTTTTTTTTTTTTTTCCATTCCTTTTATAGACGAACTTCTGTGAACTCAGACTAAATGGGCAACAATTAGTTGGTTTGCTCCTCTGAAAGCCAATGTGTTGGGTTATCTCAACCTGAATGAACCGCCGAAGACATTGTACAGTATGGCTTGTTTGTGCATGGGACACATTAAAAAGATTAGTTGTACAAATGATTTTATAGACTACTGCAATGCTACCAGTTGTGTTTACTAAGAAACACAGACCAGCAAAGGACTGTAAAATAAATGTTTGCTGGTTTTCTGTCACTCATCCTGAGTTTTGAAATGCTGCTTCTACCACTGTAAGCTTAGGTGTATCAACACCATACATATGTATAAGCTTGAAATTACATATATAAAATGTGCAATCACAATCATTTTGGTGCAGCAGCAAGACTGATTATTTCATTATTTTCTCAACTTTGTATTTATTGTCAGTGTAAGAGCTTATTGATGTAGATATAAAAATTGGACTGAATTGGAAATTCAAGGATATTCATTAACTCATCGTGCTCTAGGTACAAACAGCTGTGAAAAACAGTTCTTTGAATTCTGTAACGTTTATACCAGGTCATAGGGACATGATTAGGATAACTTTCCAAAGGGACGTTAGTCGAATGGAAAATTCCCTTGATTGTAACTAGTGATGACATTTACATAGGTACTGCTGATAAGTTCCTCAGTATGTCAGCCTGAGCTACAGGGTTCCTGATGGAGGGTTGTTGAAGGTAGCCATTGCGTCAACAAATGGCCAAAGCACAGGACATGATGCACACAGTTGGTTTTTGTATTATTGTAACTGCATTAGCAATATACTAATATATGTATACACTACTGTTCAAAAGTTTGGGGTCAGTATGATTTTTTTCTTAGAGAAAATAATACATTTACTTAGCAAGGATGCGTTGAAATTGATGCATTAAACATGACAGTATAGAGATTTATAATGTAAAAAAAAATCAGTTTTAAATAAATGCTGTTCTTTTAAGCTTTCTATTCATCAAAGAATTAAAAAAATTTATTTAGGTTTCGACAAAAAAAATTTTAAGATTTCTGAAGGATTGTCACACTGAAGACTAGGGTAATGGCTGCTGAAAATTTGTAAATAAATTAAAATAGAAAATAGTTATTTTAAATTGTAATAATATTACTGTTTTTTTTATTGCATTTTTAATCAAATAAATAGCCTTGGTGTAATCTTACGCAGACCCCAAACTTTTGAATGGTACTCTAAAATCTGCAATTAAAAATTCCATGCACTGTAAAAAAAAAAAAAATGCTGCTGCAATTATAACAACTTAAAATGTTTAAATCCAGATAAACTAAACTAGTCTTAAGTTAACTAAAGTTATATTTTTAAGTCAAGCACAAACACTTTTTTTAAAAATTGAAACAGCACTTTATTACTTAGACTAATGTTGAATTTTCAGCTGTGATACCTAATCGCAGCAATCAATTTTTACAGTCAGTCCAGAGTAGTTTTCATGTACTTGGCAAAGCCAAAAACCTCTGCGCAAATAAGTAATACAAAGTACAAACTTTGTAGTATGAGCAGGTGTGTTAAAATTGACATCAGGTTGTCTTTGGGAAAGAATGCTAAACGACTGAGTAGCTTTGGGTGACTCCCTCATCCAGTAATGCAGACTTTTCATAAAATGAGTTTGCAAATCAAGCTTCACAGAATGTTCTTTCCATTTAATCACAGCTATACAAAAGAGTCAACAGTAGCATAAGTTTTTGCATATATACAGTAAATTGTCAGCGGCTTTCTCTTCCAGTAAATGTTCTCAGTACACAAATGTACCACCAAATTATTTTATATATCAAGGGTTATCAATGCCAAAAGAGTGTGTGTGTGTGTGTGTGTGTGTGTGTTTTAGGATGCATCTGCAGTTTCTAGTCTGTCTCTCATCAAGTTCACGCCGGCTGCCTTATTGGATGTCTTCCCTGCAGCCCGTCCTGTCCATGTATCAAATGTTAAGCGCTGCCGGTAAAATCTAGATACTGAATCTATAGGTAATATGATAAGCATTTTCTCCTCACTTTGAGAACACTGGGTATTTGAGGAGAAAGCAGACATAAAAACCTGTCCTTGAGACACAAGTGTCCCTTCTACAACAACAGTGTATATAATGTTTGCGGCTGCTTGTTATTCTATTCCAAAAGGACATTCGGCGCATTAAATGAATGAGTAGGTGTTATGGACGTATCCATTTTCCTCATTTCCCGCCCACTTGGCTAAATTATGTAGCATATCTTATGTAAATAACAGAACATGTTCGCAATCCGTCGGCCTGTGTGGTTTAACAGGAGACAAATCTTTACTGTAATAACTCTTAAACCAGAACAAATGAATTCCATATTGCCACCTGTCACCTTTCTTTCTTTCGTTTCTTTTTTTCTTTCAGAGTCAGACATCTTCAAAACTGTCAAAGTTTACATGCACTGAATTTCTTTTTTATTAATATCTATTTTCTGGTTAAGACTTTTCCAAAAAGCAGGATGTATGTATCAGAGATATTATCATTAACTGAAAGTAAAACTAAAATTCTGAAAAACATTTTTGCTATCTGAAATATAATAGAATTCAAATATTAGAAGAAATAAAAATAAGAAAGTAAATGAAAATAAGAAAAATTGCATTGGCAACTGAAATAAACTGCACTAAAATGACTAACTGAAAATAGAAACTTATACTGAACTTAATTTAAAATAAAAAATAAACCTGTTTTTAAAAATTACAAAAGCACAAAATTACTAAAACATAAACTAAAATTAAAGTGAAAACCAAAAACATAAAAATAAAAGCTAATTCTAAATATTATTAAAAACTATTGTATATAAATAATACTAAAATAACACTGGTGTGTATAAATGATAATCGGCGTGTTTGAAAAAATAAATGGCATCTGTATCAAATATTACTTTCATTTGTCCTAGAGCAAATAAATATTTCATATTTCAAATAAATATTTCATATTGCACATGGACAAATGTAATATGTGATTATATATTAATGTAAAACATTTTATACTGAATGCATGTATATATTATATGTATGTATTATATAATATTATTTTAATAAATTAATATATGCATATATATATATATATATATACAGTACTGTATATATTCTGAATAAGCCCTAAAATTGTGATTAGTACAGGATGTCAGCTGTCTTATTTGGACTTTTGGACAAAATCTTGACTTAACTGGATTATGGTGATCATATCAATACTTTCTTATGATAGCCTAATCAGAATATGACCACAATTTGGAAACTCAATGTACATTTTTTGTACAAATGTTCATCCTCATAAAGGGGTGGCATTTTATTTGCCTGTACTTGTACTGATCAGTGTACCTTTTTCATTTTAATAATGCTGCGCAAACATACAGTATGTTGAATCAAGCAAGTCTCACGTTACAGGCACAAGGTTTATATATATACAGTGTATCTATAAATGGCTTAAATCCTCACTTCAGGGGATATTTTAGCATTAAACCTGAACTAAACTCCAGCTGAAACTGGATCTTTGTTTACAAATATATTTGCATCGTCACATGAGGTATTCAGCCACTTTCCTGAGCAGGCTTACAAAGAACTATCTGTTCTCATCCAGGAGGGGAGAGGCTTTAAAAGAGATCCAGGACGTTGGTTATCTGGTTTATGGGGTCATCACAGTGCTTATTCATACTGACTCACCCATTAAACAATTCCCATGTTCTGTACTAAACGATCTCCATTCTTAACCACAGAACTTCAAAAGACTGGCCTTTTGTTATTTTTGTGACACATAAGTTACGTATCTCTCTTTTCCCCCTTTCAACCGATATCGAAAAACAAAGGTGTAAAATGTAACCACACTGGGCATGTCATGTTTGCTAAGTGTCTTATAGGCGTCTGCTAAAAGCAGTTGTTGTGAAATATACAAAACTCAGTAAACCAAAATGAATCAATATGCAAACTCCTGTTCACCTTATAAAGTGCTGCCTTCAAGCTGAAAGAATTTGAATGAATAGAAGCTGCTATACACTGCATTTTTAAAGGGATATTTATGTTAGCAGCTACTGCTAAATTAGTCTCTGGTCAACATTAGGTGAATGTATGCAGTGACAACAAATATGTTGCATTCAAACTTTAACATTCATCACTGTTAAGTATCTTTTGGTGGCAGATACTTATTCAGTGGCTTTAAAAATCAGTTAAAGTTGGCATGATAAGAAAATTCACCCTATCTATATACTTTTATGTACTAATATGTACCTTTTAGGTATTAATATATAACATTTAGGGGTGCTTTTGAAAGTGTAAATGCATATTGTTGATCTTATTTTCAATGATTCAAACTTAATTTTGCACAAACCCTGCCCGTTCCAGTCGACTGCAAGCTGGCGTTCAGATCTATCTGCATCCGAACAAAAACTGATGAATTAAACCATGTCCCTGCCCTACTTTTTTTTAATTTTTCAGTAATCTGTTACACTCAGAGATCATAAGGCCAGTGTGAACTCTACTGAGGAAGTTTAAAGCTTCCAGATATACAACACCATGTTCTGCTAGTCTAATAATATATTTCTTATAGCCTTTTAATCATAAGACTGACTGCTATGTTGTAGCACTAAATCACTCTTGAAGATTATAATATGCTAATAAATTACATATACTGTAGTTTCACTCACAGTGAACCTTGTTTGACGTTTCAGGATTACTCAGAAGCGGTGACTTCTATAGTGGTCAATGAAAACTAGCAAAAGAAAACATCCACTATAGCATTTCTATTACTTTACAAAAGAGAAAAAATATATATTGAGAGATTGATTACAGTGGTCATATGAGAGAAAAATGTAAAATGCTGTCACACCCTCGGCAGTTGTGTTAGAAACACGATGGCATTAACTCGTTTCTGAAATTTAATACCAAGGTAAATTAACACAAGTATAGTATTATAAATGCACATTCATTTTGTTGAAAGTATAAATAACTTTCTCAGATCCATTAAAAATGTGTGTACATGTCTGATGTCCTGTTACACTGTCAACAGCAATAAAACTCACGAACTATTAGAATTAAAGAAAAAATATCAAAAAATGTCATTAATAAATCCTTAAAACAAAGAATTAATGTCAACTTCTGAGGTGTACAAACAACATTTCTGAACTTTGAGCACCTCCTTTCAGTGATTTATTGAAAAAGAAGGAACAAAGAATAAAATTGAAACAGAAACAAGCCCGATTTCCACCTTCTATGCATAAATCGAGTGATTTGTCTCTCAATCTTCTTGTAACTTCAAAGAAGGCGCCTCGGACTGATTTGAAAGGGAATACCAAAATTCCCACAAGAGCTGATTGTCTCTTCATTTGGCCTTAATTGGACCGGTCTCATGACTCCTAGGCCTTGTTTGCCTGGTTGCCCCTGCTGGGATTCGATTTGTTGCACCTTGTGACTTTTCATGACACAAAACAGCCTGATGACACGGGAAGCTGTTGTGCAATTATTATTAGCAAAGACTTCAAGAGCTCACACTCTAAAACATGCTGGACAACAAAATATGTAATGGTTTTCCCTCAAGTCCCAGAGATCAATGTCTGTTTGTGTTGTTCAATATGTTTGCATAAGAGAACAATACGTCACTAGCACTATTTTCCATATACATTTCATCCCACTGTTGGACAAGATAGAAGAGCAGCACAACTTGTCACAAAGGTGTCATTCTGTGACCGTCTCAGCCTGCCTGTTGAGAAAGGAGGGGAACAGTGTTGTCTTTGTGCAAACTGGACAAAGCTGGACCTGTGTGAAAGCAGGTTAATGTTCCTCTACAGGTTTGGAAGCCAAGGGCATCTGAAGGACCCTCACACAAACGTACCCAAACCCACCTCTGGATTCTGCTCTCGCTCTAACACCTCGAGTGAATGAATATGACAGGACAAAACACCTACGCTCAACAAAACAAGTGTTTACACAGTCCGAGCCAATTAAAAAACTTCAGTAGTACAGAGAGATCCAATTTGTAAGAAAAGATCTCAGTATAACAGAGGTGGGTGCTATAACGGCCTGAGTGTGCGTTCAAATAGGGTGTGGAGATCTATAAATAACACACTTGTAGTGCAGACCATTTTCAGCTTCTGAGAATGGCTAAAGAACTGTTGACACATGGAGAAGTGTGTGTGGGTGGCAGAAAGCATAATGACTTAGCAGTGAAACAGGGTGCAACGCACAAGGAAGAGAGTCTCAGAGGGTTCCAGGTGTTTGTCCATGTGCTGACTCACATCAGCAGGTGTATTAGTCCTGAAAGAGTAAAAAAAGCTTCTCACCGGAGGACAGAACTTTGTTAAAGATAATAAAAACAGACATGTGAATGTTGTACACAAGCTGAGCATCATCGCTTTGAGTACTATTTACGGGTCATTCAAATAGTGCTGTTTGTGTACAGATATTATAAAAGCTAAATCAAATTTATATTATAGCAGGTCACATTTCTGTTTGTTTATATATATATATATATACTGTATACATTATGTAGATATTTAAAAAATCTTAAAAATATTTATTTACGTTTTCTGCTGTAATTTAAAAATGTAAATGTAAAGTATATATATATATTTATATATATATATACAATTAGTATATATTATTAGATATACAGTATATATTATATATACAGTATATTTATATATCTCCTTTCAATAGATATAATTTTAGTTTAATTTTTATTATTTTTGACCACATGGTTCAAAGAGAAGTACTTTAAATTAGTATTTTTTTTATGCTTCCACTAATATGGGTCTCATCGGGCTCAACTGTTCAACTGTAATGAAAAATAATATTTATTTATTGATTTATTTTTATTTTCTATAGGAAAATATTGTTCTTGGCGAAAAGCACAAGAATATCGACTACATTTTTTGAATGTAGGAAGGATTAAATGTATGCAAAGCATGTTCTGAAAGAGAAATTTTATACATAAATACCAACACATAAAATGAAATACCTGACAATAATGTATCATTTTTGTTCTCATGGCTGTTTCAGCAGCAGAGCAGGAAGGCATTAGAGGGTCAGGAATGTGCAGAACTTGTCAGAAAATATGCCAGGGCTTGTTTATTTGTGATTATCCGCATGTGCGCTAACTGCGCTGTGCGTGTGTGCGTGTGTGCGTGTGTGCGTGTGTGTGTGTGTGTGAAAGCATGCTCAAGGACCTTTCCTCTTCTGGAACTGTGGACATACTCAAATGCCAAGCATAGTTACTGATTCACACTGTCAGAGAAGCTTGCTAGAGTGCTGTCCAGGCAGCAGTCCAAATGCATGGTTAAAAGCTCACTGTTTCCATAACATCCTTGACGTTTTAAAATAGTTTATTTCCTTACTCAATGGCTATATGAATAACAAGGCATGAATGAATGTCACATGTAAGTATATTTCTGTTAAAAAACATTGTGTTTATCAAAAACTTTAAACTCAGTGATTAAATTTGGATTTTGTATCTTCACCCAAAAATGAAAATCTGCTGAAAATGGACTCACCCTAAAGCCTTTCAAGATGAGTTTGTTTCTTTTAGCATTATATCAATGAACAGTGAATGGGTACCACCAGAATGAGACTTCAAACAGCTAATAAAAACATCACAATAATCTACAAGTAATCCACACTACTCCAGACGATAAATTAATGTCTTGTAAAGTGAAAAGGCTGTGTGTTTGTAAGAAACAAATCCATCATTAAGGTGTTTTTTAACTTTAAACTGCTGTTTCTGGTTAAAATACAAGTCCATAATCTATAATAATGCGTCCACCAGTGAAAAAGTCCAGTTTACTTTCAAATCCAGCAACATATTTGATTAGAACATTTTTCGTTTGTAAACAAATCTGTGCATATTTCACTCCTGATTCAGATGAGACGACTTTTTAACAGGGGGAAACAATATTATGAATAGAGGACGGAAGCTGGAAGCAACAGTCTGAAGTTAAAAACATCTTGGTGGATTTGTTTCTTACAAACTTGCAGCTTTTCACTTTACAAGACGTTAATCAGCGGACAGGAGTTGTGTGGATTACTTGTGGATTATTGTGACGTTTTTATTAGCTGTTTAAACTCTCATTCTGGCGGCACCCATTCACTGCAGACTTACTTCCAGCATGGACACACCTGTTCGTGCAATCATTAAAAAATTCTCCCTCTAAGCCACACCAATCTCTGCTCTGATAATGTTGTGTTTCAGACCCACCTATGATATTTCAGACCCTAGTTTACATGACTGTCATGATAACGTTATGACTAAGGACAGGTGTGTATGTTAATATGACATAATGGCATTGCGCAATTTTTAAGGTTAACTTGTCAGGCCAGTTGCCTGTTTAATAGTTACTTTTGATATCTCATTGTGTTTACAGCTAACAGAACATGAATAAGCTTGTGATGGGTAATCTGAAAGATGCAAATATCCTAAATCAACATAGTTTTATTGTATCATGAACTAGTACAGAGGGTTTAAACTGCATGCATGTGCTGAAAATTAATAGTTTCCATGCATGCGAAATTTATGTAGGTCTCAGGGGTGCCGTGTGTTCTGTTTCTATGGACGTGCCTCTAAAACACACAGTCCTGTGGGAATGACTGGATAATTACATGCATCACTGATATTTCACAATCTGGCTGACCATAAAAGTTGTATACATATTTTAAAGATACTTTTGAAGACAATTATCTATGAGCAATGTGGTCTGTCATAAAATGGGTCATTTAAAGTCTGTCATTTAATATTAATAATAATGTAGGGACAACTGACCGTCAGAGGTGGATAAAAAAACAGCTAAATTAAATTTTTTAAAAACCCGTAGAAAACAGCAGGTCACAGTCTTTTGCTTGTTACTCATTATATTAATACAAATAGGTCACACAATTTACATTGCAAACATTTACATTTAAAATATTAGAGTATTTCTTTCACTATAATTTGTGAAATGTATTTATTTCGTTATTGGTTTATATTATTGCCTACATCAATTGTTATTAGTAGCAGCAGTAGTAGTGCATTTCTTGTTATTTTGTATCTTATCTCGAATGATCTTGTGTGTGGTAACACTGCCATCACAGATTTCCCAGGACAAATGTAGGATTATGGTCCATTACTGACATCCCCTGGATATAATTGTTAGTGCAGTCTGTTTGCGTTCTCTATAAACCCCGCCTCCTAAGAGCTCTCTCCACTTCTAATTGGTTCAAATCATTTTCTCTCTTCAGTCTGATTGGCTAACTGGATTCGCCCTAGCTGTCACGCACAATAGAGGTCACGCATGATTCCAATATGGCCGCGTCCAGTTGAAACGCTACCTGCTGTATGAGTTTAAAATAAATGTTTTTTCATTTTATTTGAATTGAATTCAATCTAATACATAAGAGCAGCATGGCGATTCCTGACAAGACTGTGTGAGCTGTCATATGCTTCTGCGATGCCTTCACTCAATGCTATGTCATGTTTTCAAAGGGTGAGTTTGAAATTATGTGTGTGTGTGTAACCCATATAACCATATATATCAGCTATATTTTGATATACAAATACAAATCAGAAGATGAAATAACAGAAAAATGCACTGTGCTTATTTATTGATTAACATGTAGGGACTTTCTCAAAATATGGTAACCTTGAAGTTTCATTAAAAAATGCATACAAAAATATTAATGTAAAAAATTATTTAAGCTAACTTAAATAATATTTTATCGTGCACCTTTGAAATCTGGAATTTTAAATATTTCTTATAAATTATATTAAATAAGTTAATATTTTTTGCATACATATACATATTTATGCAAAATATATGTTAAAATGATAACAATTTAATATTAAAGGGGTCATATGATGCGATTTCAAATTTTTCTTTCTCTTTGGAGTGTTACAAGCTCTTGGTGCATAAAGAAGATCTGTAAAGTTACAAAGACTAAAGTCTCAAATCCAAAGAGATATTCTTTATAAAAGTTAAGAGTCAACCACGCCTACCTAAAACGGCTCGTTCTAACACGCCCCCACATATCTACCTCACTATGTGGAAATATTAGCATAATGCCGCCCAAATGTGCACGCAAAGAAAGAAGGCGTGGTTTCAGTAACCGCAGTCGTGTTGAAGCAGCATGTCAGGGAGACGCTGTGTGTTTCTAGGCGAAAGCAAAAGCACTTTATTTGGCCTTCCGGAAGTAGATGCAATTAGGAATCATTGGTTAAGATTTATTTACAACAGAACAGCACAACCCAGATGTTCAAATTTGAGCAATGCATTTTATGGACGATAGTTTTTTGAACCTAGAAGAGTACAAGGCTGGCTGTGCACAAAGGCTATTTCTAAAAAATAAAAAAAGGTAAATTCCGACTTTGCTATGACAATCTGGCGCTTCTGAATCAGTGACTGTAAGTATGTTTTGTATTAGCTTAAGTATTTGCAGTTGACTGTTCAAATGCGGAGTTTTGCGCAGCGCAGAGTAACGCGTTGTGTGTGTGTGTGTGTGTGTGTGTGTGTGAGAGAGGGGAACAGGGTCACATCACAGGAGAGTGAACTGCCTGTCAGAAATCATAGCACGTCAGCTGTCTTAACCGCGGCTTGTGTACTGCATCATCACTGTGTCTATTGCCCTTTCGGGCTTGAAGTGATGGTAAAACTAACGACGTTATTAACTGTCTTGATACTTACTTTGAAAGCTGAAGCTGGTAAGGGGCGTTACATTTCCGACGCGTGCTTGTGGTGTTCGGCCAATCACAATGCACTGGGTCAGCTGGCCAATCAGAGCAGACTGCGCTTGTCAAAGGAGGGGGCTTTGTAGAAAATGAAGCGTTTGAGAGAGGCAGGGCATAGAGGACCTACAATAATGTACAGTATTTGAAAAAGAATGTGTTTTTTGAACATTAAAGCATGTCAACATATTCTGTTACACCAAATACACAAAATAATGATCTTTAAAATAGCATCATATGACCCCTTTAACAATTTATATACATTTTTGCATAGATAGATATAGCTTCTCATTGTTTTAGCATTAGTTATTTTAGCCTTAAATATTTAGTCAAACATAATTGCAAAAAATAAAATAATAACCTAATATTTTGTTCCTTTATTTCTTGTTGTTTGTCACTGTAAAAAAAACTGCATTATTAAAATACAAAGTTGAAGTTAAAGATCAAAAGTTCCTATTTGAAAATTAGAAAAGCTCAGAGGAGGAAGAGGCTGTTAAAATATAAACATGGTCACTTCCCCTCATATAAACTCACAAATAAACTGCATAAATCTGTTTGTAACTCTTTTATACAGTTGCACACCTGCTACATTGCTCTCTTCAAAAACAGATCCCATCACTGGACTGTGTTTTCTCAGAGCAGAGCTTTGCACTACACTGCCTGTGAACTGCAAAGCTCAAGCCCAGACTCTTCTTCCACCGTCAGCAGTGTACACCAGACACAGACTGTCCCAGAACCTGTGGACGAGGGCCCTCCATCTCTCCCCAGCCACTGCTGCATGAGCGGCTGTCATAACTGTGTGTGGATCGAACACGCTGAAAAACTGCTGAAATATTACAGCGATGGTGGAGACAGAGCTCTGGCAGCCATTGAGGAGAATGTTCTCGATGACAACCTGAAGGCTTATCTTAAAATGGAGATCAAGTTGCTGAAGAAGTCCTGATGCTAGTGAACTTGGGTGGAGATTTACTGAGAGCAGATTCAGAGTGTTTCATAGCAGCAACTATTTGGACGTTTTGTCAAAAACACGTCCCGGTCATATTTCACCTCAATATCAAAAGGAAAAACATATATGTTTTATTGCACGAAGACTATAAATCTTAATTCTAGGAACACAAAAAATGTTTTTTCAAAATCCTCATTTTTGTAACGCATGCATTGCAGATGTTTTTTTGTAATGTCTTTTATAGTATAAATTTGAGAACAACAATTTGATGAGATTATGGTGTTTTTTCTTTCAGTATTCTTCACAGAATATAGTACAGTTTATAATAATGGAAATATACATATGAAAATGTTGTGAATTTTTAAGGCAGTGTTCAATATTACTGGCCTACAGAACTGACAGATCCGACTATACCCATGATAAAACCTTATCTAAAAAAACATGTTTTTTCTTTAATATTTTGAAAACAATAATAAATGTTGAAGATGTTATGTATTTATAGATAAGTTTTATCCTTTTGTATATTAAGAGAGTGTACAGTTTCTTATTTATTACTTATTTAATGTGATGTGTAACTATTAGTCTCTTGTGCTCACCAAGGATGCATTTATTTGACAATAAATAAATTATTAAAATGTATTTATTTTAATTAATTATTTTAAATTACAAATATATACACACACACAGAAAAAAACGTAATATTGTGAAATGTTATTACAATGTTTTTTTTGTTTGTTTTAATATATGTAATTTTATTTTTTTTTAGAATTTGCTTTTGTAATTAATAAAAGTAAATGTTACCCCGGTCTTCAGCGTCACATGATCTCTCAGAAATCATTTTAATATTGTTTGGTGCTCAACTTCACATATTTTGTTATTATGTTGAAAACAGTTGTGCTGCATAATATATTTGAAGAAACCGTTATACATTTTATTGAAGGATTCTTGATTAATAGAAACTTCAAAAGAACAGCATTTATTTAAAACAGAACCTTTTGTAAATGTTTTATTGTCATCAATTTAGTGCATCCTTGGTCAATAAAAGTGTTACCTTCTTTAAAAATCATGTTTTAATTTACATGTGGAATATTTTATGCATGTATTCCACAAATTAAATGTGAAATAAAACGATCCTGTAAAAGTTTACATACAAATGTTTAAATACTCTTGTTCTTATAATGTGTTTCTTCCTTGAGCATCACTGCTTGTGACTTTAAGGATCTCAGCATCATTGAGTTTATGTGAAGAAGAACTCAAACACACAGTGCTTGCAACCTAATCAAAGATTTTACAGGACCTGGGGTCTCATTTATAAAACTCTCTGTAGATTTCATCCTAAAAGTTTACGTATGCACAAAAGCTAGATTTTGCGTAGATTACGCCAGAACCTGCGCAAAAATCAATTTATAAATCCCAGTCAGGGGAAGATTGTGCGTACGTGCATCTCCACCCCGACTTCTCCCCGAAATCACCATATATAGATCTTACAACACCTAGTTTTATTATGCATAACCTCATCTGCATATCATTTCCATGCATATTCCCATCCACGTGATACCATATTTAACACCGTTAAAGGTACAAGACATTAAGGAAATATGAGATACGGACTATAAATGCCATTTGTGCCATACACAATTTTTATTGCTAAAAATCATCCAGTATCCTTGTTATGTTTTAGCATAAATATATCAAAATCCATTAAAAAAAAAACTGTTTAAACTAGTTTTTATATTAGTTTTTTATATTAGTTTCCACTGGCCAAATAGTATTTCAGTTGTTTTAATTGTTTTAAACAATTCAAATCAAATTTAATATATGCAGTTTTGCTGATAAGGTGAACATCTTTTAGCTCAACCTGTTTAGCTATTCTTAGCCTATATTTATTGCAGTGTAAATAGAATTGTCTGACTCGGCGCGTCACTGACAAAGTAGCCTATTTTAAAAAGAAAACATGCAAATTACCATTCAAGTTGTATCCTTCAAATACAGTGATATTTTCATAATGTTGTGGAGTTGCCTTCACGCGGCATCAACACCGTGCAGCTGTGGTTGTACAGTAAGCTATTATCATTGGTCCTATTCAAACCGGACAATGTTCAACTCTGAATCCAGCAGTGTCCGCCACAATATCGAAGTAAGTGCGCATCATTGATCATTGTTCTCACTAAAATATTTCCTCATAACATGAGATCTGCAGTTTAGTGTAAAGATGAATTATTGTGCACTCCTCGCTGTCATTAAAACAGCATGCCACAGGAAAAGTGATCAAGTGCATCCACTAAATACAGTGGTGTGAAAAAGTGTTGGCCCCCTTCCTGTTTTTTTTATTTTTTGCATATTTGTCACACTTAAAAGATTCAGATCATCAAACTAATTTTAATATTACACAAAGATAATGCAAGTAAATACAAAACGCAGTTTTTAAATGATTATTTATTTTATTAGGGAAAAAAGCTGTCCAAACCTGCCTGGCCCTACGTGAAAAAGTAATTGAATAACCCCTAAATCTAATAACTGGTTGTGCCACGCTTTGCAGCAACAACTGCAATCAAGTGTTTGCGATAACTGGCAATGAGTCTTTCACATCGCTGTGGAGGAATTTTGGCCCACTCTTCTTTGCAGAATTGTTTTAATTCAGCCACATTGGAGGGTTTTCGAGCATGAATGGACTGTTTCAAAAGCATCTCAATCGGATTTATGTCCGGACTTTGATTTGGCCACTCCAAAACCTTAATTTAGTTTTTCTTGAGCCATTCAGAGGTG